CCTTCTCATCTGGTACCCAAAATGCAAAGAGGCCAGGTATGTAGCTGGCATTTTGAGGCCTGTGGGGACCTGGTTCTGATAAGCCTCCAGCCTTCTCCTCTGGCCAGGCTCCTCCAGCACCTACAACACCAAACTGCAGATGGTCTAGGCCCTCCTATCTCCAGCAGGTCTGTTAGCCTAGAGCACTTTCAGGTTCCTTGTCCATACCCCACCAGAGAATCACCTCCTCCAGTGAGCCTTCCTTGATGCCCCAGGCAGTACAGGGCCTTCCTTTGTCTTACTAGAGACTTTAACTTCCATCTTTACTGTCTTTCCTACCAGCTGAGTGTCTTTAAAGGACAGAGCCCAGAGGCCAAAAAAATCCTCTCATACTGTAAGAATCCTCACAAATTCACCTCAGGTAAATGGAGGAATGGATGAATGAAAGAGTGAAGGTGGCAAGGGAGACCATTTCTCAAGAGTTTAGCTATTCTGTGATAAAATAATAAGCAATACAAGGAGATCCACCGAGTGCATGCTTAAGTCAGACACGCAGTAAGACACTGGGCTCATCAAGTCCATTATTTCACTTGAACCTCCAACATTGCTGTGATTGTTTATAGTGGTTTATGATTAGAGCCTCTGAGACTCAGAAAAAGGTAAAATCACTACTCATATCCTGCAGAGACGGGATAGGACCAGGTCTGTGGGGTGCTACTTTTTGCAGAAGATGTAGTGATAGGTGGAATGGATGTACAAAGCCACAAACAGGTTTTTAATCCAATTGTATGGGCTGGAGCTTGAAGATCTCTGAGTATTCTGGGAGGGAATCCTCACATTTTGAATCCTCACAAGCAGCTCAGGGGACAACGTTACTCTGCCTCCCTTACCTGCTCCATCAGCAACTGCTCTTATTCTGTGATACAGACTGTGTTTTCTCAAACCAATGTCATGAGTTATGCAAAGATACAATAGAAGATTGAAAACTATGGTGAATGTTTTAATTTTAGAAATTTATCACAGCACAAGACACATTGCCATTTTCCCTCTCAAAATAACCTCCCTGACTTTGAACACAATTACCCTATCATTTTTGCCATTTTCTGAAGCAGTGCTTAAAGCCCTCTTTCCTGAATATCTTTACAAAGTGTGTTCAACAATATTTAGTGAATGTCATTGCCAAAAGTAACCCAACAGAAAGGCAGGCTCACAGAGACATGGTGGTGTGCCCTCATCTACCTTGTTCACCAGATCCAGTACCTTGGACAACTTCTGGCTCTTCCCCAAAAATCCAAATGATGATGGAAGGTTAATGTTTTAAATTGATTCAGGACATTGAGGCAGCCACAGCGGTACAACTAAAGACATTCACAAAAGAAGACTTCCAGGCAGAGTCCATGCCCTTTCCTGGAAGCCACAGAGGCGCTCCCCTCCCCTAGCCCTGCACCAGCCTCAAGTGGCACTCAGGATGCCAAGCCTGAGTCCTCTCCTGCCTGTTCTCCTGCTCCATGACCTGTTACATCAAGTCACCTAGGAGCTTTCCTTGTGATGGAGCTGAGATGATGTCTCACTCCTTGGTCTCACATACTAGCCTGGATGCCCACTATTCTTTGCCGAGCTGGGTTCGGAGCCTCCCAGCTCTGCCTGGGCTTAACCACTTGACCTAGAGATGTGAAGTGTGCACGAAGTGGAGGTTCCCTGGAACTCTATGAGGAAGAGGTAGGGCTGGGAAGTCACACGAGGTCAAAGAGAGGGGAGAGGTGGAGGAGGGGAGAGTAAGATGGGAGAAGGAACCAGCAGCACTGATGAGAGGAGAGGAGAGGACTGGCCCCTGGAGGCTGGGGTGGGGATGTGGAGAGAAGGAGAGGCGGGCTTTGGGCTTCGGTAGGGGACAGGAAGTTGAGGGCAGTCCTTCTTGAAATGGCTTTCTGCTCAGAAGGGAGTCAAGGGTACAGTGCTGACAAGAAAGATAAGATCAAAGCTCAAAAGAGAGAGGAGGGAAGACACCCCAGGACCCAAAGGGGTTGGGAAGGCAGCCAAAGAAAGCAGCGACCTGTTCTGTGGGGTCTCAAGGCACACAGTAAGGACAGACCACTGTGATGGTCCCATGCATGGGGCTGTGAGAAGACCTGCTGTGTGCCCAGGAGTCTCATGACCTTGGGTGGCAGTGTAGGTAAGCTGCTAAAGAAGGCAGAGCCACCAGGGACATAGCTTGGGGGCACAAGTGCCTGCCTGGCAAATGCAAGATCCTGAGTTCAATTCCCAATGAAGAAGAAGAAGGAGAAAAAGCTGCAGAAGAAGAAAGAGGAGGAGGAGGGGGAGGAAGAGGAGGCTGAGGCCAGGGAGGTGTTGGGCCAAGGGAGGCAGCCTCAGAGGCCGGGGCAGAGTGACTGTGCCGGCTGGAGGGTACACAAGGTGGTGAGGGGCTAGGGAAGCCCTAGGACTAGGAGGAGGGGAAGGCAGCCCAGGCCTACCAGCCACCACTTGTTCTTCCCGCTCAGCTGGGACTGTTTCTAGCCTGAGTCTCATACACAGCCAGATAGAGGCAGCCCCAAGAGTGGCTTAAGCGCCCATGGTCCCCACATTTCATCTCTACCTGGTAATATGCTGTGTGAGTACAAAGTGCTGTTTGCTTATAAATATGACTGAGACAAGTCCCCTGTGACCTGGCCAGGTTTGAGCCCCTAAGCCTCACTATGTAGACTCTGAAGGCATCCCTGGAAATTCATTCACTTGTTCATTCACTTAACATATCTTTTTACTGGGCACCAATATGAGCCAGGTACTGTCCTAGATACTAAGCTTCATTGATGAGAAAAGCAAGAAAAGCCCTGCTTGTACGTACACACACACACACACACACACACACACACACACACACAGAATAGCTGTTAAAAGATGATACATACTATGAGAAAAACAAAGTAGGAACTCCGTGTGCGCATGTGTGGGGTGGGAGACTGCAGCTCTGATGGAGAAGAGCAGAGAAGCCCCGTGCAGAAAGTGTCGACTGCCACACATCCACAGCAGGAGCCGCCTATCACCCTCTAACATGCCACACGGCACACTGAACCCAAAGCTGATCCTGGCTGCAAACCCCTCTTCCTAGGCCCCAAAACTCTGTGTTCCTCTCACAATGGGCTGGCCACAAATGAGGCCCCAGTCCCACATGGCTGACCTTCAAGGGTTAGGACTGGGGGTCTGGTGAATGGCAGTCCTCACAAGTTAGTAAGCTTTGGGGTCCCCTGATTCCTCCTTTCAAAATAGCAAGAGAACATCACGTCATAGGTCCCAGGTAGTGAATAAGAAGCCAGAGGGTCTTGTCTTAGGTGAGACCTGGTGCTGTGCTGACCTTGTGCTAGGCATTTGGGCTCCGCTGCTAGATTTCCATGCATGGGCTGGGACAGGAGTGCTGGAGTTACCAGTGGGGACGGATGATCCTGGAGTGGTTGTGTCTCTCTGCCAGGTGGACTCAGGCCTCAGGAGCTCCTAGGGTCAGTCAGAGCAGGAGCCAAACAGAGAACTGCATTTCATGATAGGGAGGGGCTCTCTGAAGCTCTCCCCACACCCAAACCTTCCCTGAAGGCTGTGGACAGCACTGAGTGCATTTAGGCCTGTGTCTGTGAAATGGGCGGGATCATAACTGAAAAAAAAAACAAAACCCACCTCAGGCAACATTGGCGGTCTTCCCTACTTTATGTCAGGGCCGGGGGACCAAAGTGGGCTCAAAGGGGCTTCTCCTATAAGCATTTCCTCCCCTCACCACACATCCATAAATCTTCTCTTTCATCAGTCAAGGCAAAGATCTTTAAAAAAAAAAAAAAAAAAATTATGGCTGCAGGCAGCACCAAGGACAGAGCCCTATGCCTCACCTTCATGGACTGGATTTGTTCGTCCACCACTGCCCAGTGCTCCCTGGTTGAGAACTGGAATCTGGTCTCTGAGGCCCTAATGGCAAAGTCCACCTTGTCCCCAGTTCCTAACAGAGTTGGAGAAGGAAGGGAGGCTGTCCCCCAGCCACTTCCTACCCTGCCCGAGAAGCAGAGTGTCACGATGGATTTACGGCACCTTGGCAAGTTCCTAATCTCTCTGGCTTCAGGTTTCCTTCAGGGAAATGTCACCTCTCTTCCCAAGCACAGGCCATCATTCTTCAGCTGTGCAGCCTGGCTCACCTCCTGTGTTCGGTGTGAACAATACACACCCCATCTCCCAAGTGGCACAAAAGCATTTAGCTCAGGTGCCTGGTACTTTCTGAGCATCGAAGAAACTATCAGCCAGTAGCTTAGAAAAATGGGGCCCAGACAGGTGAAGTGATCTCCCCAGGTCACACAGCAAGTGAGTAATGAGTCCAAGACTGCAATCCAAGTTTCCAGCTTCCTATTTGTCCTGACCAAAAGCTACAAAGATGACACAGTGGTTACTCTAAGAACCTCATGGGAAATGAAATGGTCAGGGGGCTTTCCTGGCTGCCCCATGACAACTGATTCCTACCTGGCAGCCCCTCTGCCCTCACTTGCCCTCTGCTGGCAGCCATCAGATAAGTGGTCAGCCCCAGCTTCCCATTCAAGGACCTCCGGGACCAAAGCTGTAAGCTCAGGGCTGTGGAAAGATGAGCAGGAGGTATGATTCGCAGAGCTACAGGCTTGATTTCAAGTAACAGAAAGGGAGTTTATCAGCTCATAAAAAGTCCAGTGGAAGGTCAAGCTTCAGGTATAGAAGGAACCAGGTGCTCCACAGTTCTCAGGAAACTGTGTCCTCATCTCTCTAAGCTACACCATTGGTTTAGATGTTGGATGGTGTCTTTCCTGGTGGTTTCTCAAGTACCTAAGACCTACCTGGCACATAGTCCAACTAGCTGCGGCGGCCTTATCCTCATGTTTACACCTTTGCAAACCCAGGGGAAAGCCCATCTTATTGTTCAGGAAAAAGCCTCAGAATTGACTCTGAGACACCTGGTAAGGGTGGCTCACCCCACCCCAAGGCAGCCACAGGGCCTGAGGAACCCACTCCTCTCTCCTCAGCAGGCCCACCCTTCCCAGAGCCTCAGGACTCCAAGGGGAAGGAGGAGATCCCCCAAAGGAAGGACAGGAGGTGGGTGACCATCGGGACAGGGAGTCTGGGAAGTGTGTGGGAAGAACACTGCAGAGAAGCAGAACAATGACTGCCTGCAGTGAGGCACTATCCTGGGCCCTGGCCACTGCTTCTCGCCAAGGTCTGGAGCCTGCTCTGGGAGGATGGGCGGCCCAGGAAGACTGGAAAGCGGGGTCCCAGGGGCTCTCCTCAGCTCTCCCACAGTTCTGCCTTGCTCTCTGCCGTCTCCCACAGCATCTCAGCCCCATGGTCCCCAACCTCTTCAGTCACATTCCCCAGATAGAACTGCTAGCTAACTCTGCCTCGCCTCAGTTTCCCATCTATTAGGTGGAGACATTAAGTGTGAAGAAGAGACACAATGCAACAAAGGAAGAGTTGTGGCTAATGCTTGGCAGCTCTCAGTGCTCAGTAAAGGTGAGAGACTGAGAGGGAGAGAGGTTGAGAGAGAGGGAGGTGGGGTCCTGGGAGCACACCACTGGCTATTGTTGCCTGGGTACCCTGGGCTCCAGAGATGCAAATTTCCTCTTTGCTTAGCCCAAAGAGAAACCAAAAGAAGGACCCCAACCCCCAAACCCCGCAAAGCCAAAGCCGCTGCTTCCCCTTCTTTGTACTCAAAATGGAGGTTTCAGTTCCCTCTCTGATTCCTCTTGAACAGGAGAAGAAGAGGAAGTGGGAAAAGAGAAGAGAAAGAGGTCTCTTCCTGGCTTGGCTGCCTGCTTCTGTGGCCAGCCTGATACCACAGGTGGGACCACAATTCCTCCAGACTGGGGACTCTGCTCCTGCACACTGCCCTCTGAATGCCAGGGAGGCACTGACATCAGGAACCGGGCCTCAGGCTGGCCTGAGGTTGGCTCCAGGCAGATGGCATGCAGGGCCAGGGCTGGGAGGATGGTGGGTACCACAGCTAACCTTGTTTACCTGACTCAGTGTTGGTGGCTGTCCCCAGGTCACACAGCAAGTTGGTGGGGGATCCCAGTCTGTCTGACTCCTCGGTGGAGGAAGCTGAGTCTTAACCTCTGTCATCCTGTGCCCTTACAGCTCAGCTCATGAGCCAGCGGCCCAGCAAGGGGATTCCCGGGCATGGTTTCCCAGCAGGCAGGCAAGCCCAAGGTTGGGAAGCCTCTCACCAGGTCTGGCCATGTCTGGCTGCTTTCCGACTGGACAACGGACAGGCAATGACTCAGGCTTCCAACTGCTACCTCTGGCCGCCAGTCTCCCTCATCCCTTCCAGTCAGGAGGGCCTTGTCCAAGGCAGGTTACGCAGTCATCCCAGGGCAGCCTGAGGCCATGGCATCTAAGGAGCCAAAGCACTTCAGTTTTGTCAGTTCTTCCTTGTGTCTAAACTCACTGCTTCACCTCACAGACGCCACCTGGACTAAGAGAAGGAAATGGGCACAGGTTGTCCCCAGAGGGTAAAGGCTTTGGTGTTCTCGCTCATAGTGAACTGGAGGGGAGGTGGCAGTTCTCCAGAGCCTCTACCTCAAGTACACAAGGCTCAGTCCTGGCTTTGGCACCACAGCCTTACAATAAGTTCCCTTGGTGCCTATGAGCCACATGGGCCAGGGCGGAAGCTTGTCTGGGAGGGGTACCCGGGAGGAAGGCTGAGGAGCAGTCAGAGGAATTCAGGCTGGGAAGCCAGTCCGGGACACGTGAGCCCTTGGCTGTCCCCTGGCACCACCTCATGGCCACAAGTCCTCAGTGCAGGGAAGACTCCAGCCTCCGTGGTAGCAACTGAAACCATTCAGATGTCGCACCCAAATGCACCCTTGGGCTGTCAACTCCAAGAAGCCTTAGGAACTGCTCTCCTTCCTGGGATAGACGGTGACCCACTCTGGTGGGTGTGGTCATCCTGGCAGCCAACAAGGGACTAGCTGCCAGGCAGGAGGCCACCTTGCCCACCTTGCCCTTCAGGGCCCCAGCACAGCTCAAATCAGGCAAAAGAGCCCAATGCACTTAGCTGGCTCAGACAAACTGCTGGCACAGACTGAGTAAGCAGTAGATGTTCAATTTGTATGCAAACAACTGACCAGGGATTTCCCAACAATTCAAACCGAACTTTCTCAGTTTGGTCCAAGCTTTAGACTCCTATTTGGTTTCTCAAACTCTTGCCTCTAAAATGTGTTGGGGATAAGAGCAATGTCCTGATTGCTCCTGGATTCCTGGAGCGTTCTTAGCGTCCTACAGGGTGAAAGGAGGCCCTGCTCCCTATGCCATTCATCCCTTACCATGCTGGCGCCCACTGTGACCACATTCTCCCAAGGTGGCCCAGAGAGAACTCAGGCTTCCATTTCCTGGTGTCATGTTCTCTCCCTGCACCACCTAAGCCCCACCTGGTTGCCTCAAAAGCAAATCTCCCCTCTTCCAGGTCAGCCTCCTTCAGTGCCACCTCCACTCTGGAGCTCACTCCCCGGGGACAGTGAGGAGACACTTCTCCCCCTCTGGTTGTCCTAACAGCTCCAAGCTTGATTAGGCGATACAGAGGGTCGGGGAAGACTTGGCACAGCAAGGAAGAGGCTGGGAAAATGAACAGGGCCTCTGGGTGTTACACTCATGTGACTTAGGAGAATACAGAGAAGGGTGAGGAGAAAGAAAATTTCTGGGTCTGCGACCGGCCTTGGACCTCAGTCCTCCAACTCCTGTCTCCCCCTTCACTCCTGCCTCTCCACGGCTGGGGTGGGGAGGGTTCTGGGAAGGACGCCCTTTCTCTGCCTTTTCTCCGCCTCCTCACTCCTCTAGGCCCAGTTTCCGCCAGACTGAAGTGCCGGGGGTGGCAGGGAGGAGGTGGCCCCCATAGAGACTATTTCAGTCAGAGACAGCGCTGCCAAGAAGCAGAGGAAGCTGCCCGTCTCTCCATGACTGGAGGTGTTGCCGTCTGCCAAGGACAGGACTGGGGGTGCCTCGGCCCTGGCTTCCCTTTGCCGCAACACGCCTGAGCCCACCAACCTGCTGCGGGGACAGAGACTGCATGTGAGTGTCACTGCATCTCGGGGCCACTACAGGGTGGGATGGAGGGGGTGACTGGACGTAAGAAGCCGTGACTAGGCAGCACATTGGGGCCAGCATGATCTAAAAGGGCCCCAAGAGTATGAGACACCAAGGAAGGATTCCATCCAGCTGGGGGATCATCAAAGGAAGAAAGATGGGGTCCGGAGCTCAGTGTACACAGGACTTGATGGCAGAGTGATGCTGAATGGCCTTGTGTAGCGGGGAGGCTGAAGCGAGCATCTTTGCTCCTGGCTGCCAGCCCCATGTGGCTATCTCGGTGTCTTGGGAACAGTACATGGAGAGAAAGGGCAGCAGAACAGGCAGTGTAGAATGGGCCCGGTGACCTTGAAATGGGACTGGAAGGCTGGACAGGGACCTTGAACGTCAGGAATAGGGCTTAGGCATCTCTCCAAAGGGAAGGATATGATCAGAGCCTCCGAGCCCCTGAGAGCTTGGCATATGAGCTGTTCCAAGACTTAGGACCCAAGAGTGGGTGACGGATGTGAGAGTGGTCAGCTGATGCTCAGGGATGGCACCTAGCAAGCCCTCCCTCCGGGAGCTCCTGCAGGAGCTAGGTTAACATAAGGACTCGGCCTCCAGGGTCCTCAGAAGGCAGAGAGGATAGGGAGCCGGATGACAGCCAGGCCTTCCTTCCCGGCCTGGCCCTGAGGTCTGCCTAATGGACAGGTGGGTAACTCAAGGGTCAGCTCCTGTAGCCCCTGCCTCCTCCAGCCAGGGAGTGGAGGGCTTCCTGGAAGGTGCAGTCTTGCCAGGAAGCAGGAGGGGCGGACAACTGAGGTCTCCCAAAGGAAGGGTTAGGACACTGTGCTCTTCTACACACACTGGTCTCTTCTCAGACCCCACCTGCCCCCTCCCCAGACTGTCCTCACACCGTTCTCTACCCTTGGCAAACTTCCTTATCCCCAGGGTCCTCCATGCTCCTCTGAAAGGCTCCTTGCATCCTGCAGGCCACACTAGTCTCCCCTTGGGCTACCACAGGCAACGTCTACATCTACACACTGCCCTGTGGCCTTGAGTGTCCAGCAGGCAGCAAGGCAAGGTCTGGCAGGTGGAAAGCAGAATGAACAGTGGATGAAGGCACAGCCTGGGCAAGCGCGGTGGAGATGAACGAGTGACCTTCCTCCTGCCCATTCCAATCCCGGCCCTCAGACACACTGCAGGGGCCACCGGGCCTCCCTGCCCCACGCCTGCCTCATCTCAGCTGGGCACACAGAGTCCTCAACCCCAGCTGGAAGTATATCAGGGACCTGTGATAACCAAAGGCGATACGGGTTGTGGGGTGCAGTCGGAGACCTCAGACCTTATCATTTTGCCCAGAATTTGGGTAGAATAATTTCATTACAATAAAATTTTAAGTGGTGAAAAACTTTTTTTGCTTTAGTATGACTTTTTAAAGTTTCTATAACCTCACTGAGCAGGTATAGCCATGGTAAAGAACAGCTAACACTTGGGCTTATGGCTGGCACTGTCTTTACAACAGCCTTATAAGGCAGGTACCCTAGTAACTCATTTTACAGAAAGGGAAACTGAGTTATGGGGGTAATATGCCCAAGTCACACAGTTCACATGTGGCTGGCCTGGGAATATAGATCAGAGTCTATACACTTGACTTCAGTCCTTTACTACCTTTGAGTGCTTTTTCATAATTTTTCTAGGCTTCAGTTTTTCCCATCTATATAATGGGCAGAGGGAAGGATTGGACTCAAAATCTCCAAGGCTGGGTTCTAGAGGTCTATTAGGTTGACACTGTAAATTTTCTCTAGGCATTACTGATGTGGAAATACCCCTCTTCAGGAATATTTAGAAGATTCAGAAGTTTAAGATATTTTGCTGTTGGGTCTCCGAAAACTCAGCCTGAATTAATGAGAGGTGGGACAATTTGTTAGATACAATGGCATGCTATTAACTGAGCACCTACTGATTGTCAAGCCTGCGACACATTTTACTGTTGAGGATACAGGCAGAAAAGGCAATTGACGTGGCCTGAGTTACACAGCATGGCAGTGAGGCACCCAGTACTGGAGCCAGGACTGCCTAGGTTCTGAAGCTGCCCTTGTAAAGTCTACCTCCCATAAGCTGCCTCCTCTGAATCAGGCGACTGGGCTCTGGTCCTGACTTGTTTCTAACTAACCTAGTCCTGGCCCCTCACTGTGGCTTTCCTTCTCTGTAAAGCTGCAGGGCCTGGCATGTGGTACATGCCTGTAACCCCAGCACCCGGAAGGCTGAGGCAGGAGGATGGCCAAGAATTCGAGGCCAACCTGAGCTACATAGTGAGTCCAAGGCCAGCCTGAACTACACGGAGAGACTGTCTCAGACAAACCAAACTGTGGGCTTTGCTCTTCCTGTTTGTCCTTGGAGAAGCAATTTTCACTCTGGACACCAGGGGACACTGTGGAGGCATGCGGCCCTGATAGACCTCTGTGGTAGTTTCTGGTCAATTAGAAACAGGTCTTGGGAAACTCCCAGGTCACCTCCTTGCCCTATTTTACAGAAAACAAGGCTGCAGCCAGAAAAAAAGAAACATGGCTTTGGAAAGTGAAGTTCAGGCTGCCGAAGTGAGAGCTGCCTTCAATGAGCTCATGGTGCGTGGACCATTCACATGGGCTGAGGTATCAGGGACCCCTCTGTCCGGGACTCCAGACCTGGCTGTGAGAAGAACCAAACCTACCATTTCTTCTCATGAGGTCCTTTTCATGAGGTCCTGTGAAAGATGGGCAAACCGACCACAACCACACCACAACATCCATCTCCCATCCCTGCCCCATAGGGAGTTCAGGAGAAGCCCTTCAAATGTATAACCTCATGACATTCCTGAGCGGTGGATGCCACACTCCCCCATTCCTCAGGTGTATAAACTGAGACTCAGAGAAGGCAGATCACTATAACTAGGTCACATAACTAGTAAGTAGCAGATGTAATTCAAACCCATGTGCACTTACTTTTACTAGCAGAGAAGACATCTGACTGGAGTTTCGAAGGATGAGTAGAAGTTTATCAGAAAGGCTAACAGAAAATGCATATTACAGGACAAAAGGAAATTGAATCTCTCCCTGAGTTGAGCTTTATTGTACTCCAAGTTTCCTTGAAATTAGAGCTGTGTGAGGCCTCCATGGTGTGGTAAACTTAAGAAATAAGAGTTGTGTCCCAATTGTTCAGAGAGGCGGACAAAGGCCAAAAGAGGGGTAGGGCCTGCTTAGGGCAGTCAATGAGCATGTCACTAACAGGCTGTGTATTGTTTCCCCAGCCTCTCTGAATGTAGGAAGCCCCATTGGGCAGTTATGGAGTGGGACAATAACACAATCCAGTCCTTGAGCTTGCCACCCACCACCTGTGTCTACCGAGAGGACTTCAAGCGCCTGCTGCTGCCACCAGTGTACTCGGCGGTGCTGGTGGCCGGCCTGCCACTGAACATCTGTGTCATTGCCCAGATCGGCATGTCCCGCCGGGCCCTGACCCGCACGGCCGTGTACACCCTAAACCTGGCCCTGGCCGACCTGCTGTATGCCTGCTCCCTGCCCCTGCTCATCTACAACTATGCCCAAGGGGACCACTGGCCCTTTGGGGACCTCACCTGCCGCCTGGTGCGCTTCCTCTTCTACGCCAACCTGCACGGCAGCATCCTCTTCCTCACCTGCATCAGCTTCCAGCGCTACCTGGGCATCTGCCACCCCTTGGCCCCCTGGCACAAGCATGGAGGCCGCCGGGCTGCCTGGATCGTGTGTGGAGTCGTGTGGCTGGTGGTAACAGCACAGTGTCTGCCCACAGCCATCTTTGCTGCCACGGGCATCCAGCGGAACCGCACCGTCTGCTACGACCTGAGCCCACCGGCCCTAGCCACCCACTACCTGCCCTATGGCATGGCCCTCACGGTCATTGGCTTCCTGCTGCCCTGTGCAGCCCTGCTGGCCTGCTACTGTCGCCTGGCTCGCCGCCTGTGCCGCCAGGATGGCCCTACAGGGCCTGTGGCCCAAGAGCGGCGGGGCAAAGCGGCCCGCATGGCCATGGTGGTGGCAGCCGTCTTTGCCATTAGCTTCCTGCCTTTCCACATCACTAAGACAGCCTACCTGGCAGTGCGCTCTATGTCAGGTGTCCCCTGTCCCGTGCTGGAATCCTTTGCTGCCGCCTACAAAGGCACGCGGCCCTTTGCTAGTGCCAACAGTGTGCTGGACCCCATCCTCTTTTACTTCACCCAAAGGAAGTTCCGGCGGCGGCCGCAAGAGCTAATACAGAAACTCACAGCCAAGTGGCAGCGGCAAGGTGGCTGAGTCCACCAGAGGAGGACCTGGGGTCTGGATGCTGTCGTGTTCGCCATCAGAGCTAAGGCAACCCACCAACTCCAAACCATGCAGAGAACTGAAATTCGGCTCAACTGGCTATACAGTAAAACCCTCCACGGTCCCAAACTTCATCAACTATTTATTGAGTCCTTTCTCAAGATCAGGCTACATGGGCTTAGAAACCAAAAGGCCTGAGCCTGGCCCTCCAAAAGCTCCCAATCAGCCAGAAAGAGTAAACAAAACCATGGTAAGCTGGGCATGGTGGCACAAACCTCTAAGTCTAGCACTCCAAGAGGCTGCGGCAGGAGGATAGAAAGTTCAAGCCCAGCCTGGGCAACTCAGTGACTCTCTGAGGTCCTGTCTTAAAAATTAAAACCTGAAAAATGGGCTGGGTATGCAGCTCACTGTGAAGTCCCTAGGTTCAGCCTCTAGTACAGAAAGAAAGAGAGAGAGAGAAGAGAAAAGAAAAGAAAGAGAAAGAGAAAGAAAGAGCAAGCAAGAAAGTTAACAAGCCATGTTAAGCTGCCCACAGAAGTACAATGTGACTTGTACTGTGATAGAGGCTTCATACTATACTGTACTTGTACGGTAAATACATGCTTTGGAATCACCAATGAAAGGCATGAGAGAAAGTAGGAAAGGAACAGAACTTCTAGGAAGGGGCATTTAAGCTGGGTTTTGAAGGATGAATATGGGCTCTCTGGTGGGAATGTATGACATTCTACTTATTTAGTAATCCTTTACTAAGACCTGTACTCAAGCCTGCAAGGCCCTAGAAAAACCAGTTCTAGTCATGTCCTATTTAAGCTGTCACTGCCTGGAGGTATAGTCCTTGACACAGTGATATAGGAGCTGTGACTGGTATCAGTGCCCACAAGATGCCCATGACTTCCTCCAAGGAGTCAGTAAAGACCTCTCTGGGGAGGAGCCATCTGAAACGGACATCAGAGGCTAAATGGGGCTCAGCAGTCAGAGGTGAGGAAGCACGTTAGTGCAGCCTGGGCCAGCTGTCTGCCGGGTGCACAGGAGAGGGCTGAGGAGGACATATGTGGTTTCCTATGTGTGAAAGCCGAGGAAACCAGACCTGTCCCAAGCCGCCCCCAGCTAAGGTGCTGCAGGTCAAGGAGCTCAGCAGAGGCAGGAGCCAGAGCACCTAGCAGAAGCAGCTGCTGCTGGGGGTGGCACCGTGTAGACCCAACCAGAGGGAGGAATAAACTGGCCCAGCTGAGCTGCAAGGCAGCCCAAGGGGCTGGGTGTGTGGAAGGGGTGCCCAGAAAAGGAGCCAGGAAGGGCCAGAACATTCAGTACTAGGAGGAGCCCAAGCCCCCACTTCTGCTTCATCTGCCTCTTCCAAGCTGGGGGGATTCTCAGGGAATGGGGTGCCTTCACTAGGTCCCCAAGACAGAGTAACAACAGTCCTTCAACCCTGCTTCAGTCTAAAAGAAGCTGACCGCTTGAGGCGACATACAGGGACACCAGGGGGCTGCTCAGGAAGGTCCCAAGGTCTCAGGGGCGTGTCCTGGCTGTGTTCCACACCTACCCTCTCATTCCAATCTGTGGGAACACAGAAGATGGCCTTAGCCAGCTGCCAGAGGGGCATTTCAAACCGAGCTCTGAGTACAAAGTCGGGTAAGATATCTTCACTAAAAGTCCCAAAGGTCCCTTGAGCAGGTGGCAAAGGGGAATCACGTTGCCTCTCCCCTGCTCTCCTCCAGGATGCCCCCTGTCACTGCTGGGTGATCCTCATCCTCTCTGCTCTAGACCCTCCTTCTCCCTCCCACCCCCTGGCCCCGCTGCATTCCCCCTTATGTCTGTAGTCTTTATTCCATTCCCTCTTCCGGGCCTGTTTTCCTCATGCAGAACAATCCAGCCTGCCCTCGCAGCTGGTACACTACACAGACCTGAGTAAGCAGGGAGTGCGCAAGGCCAGGACTCCTCCACCCCAAGACACAGGGTGGGCAGAAGCGAGAGCAGAGGAACAGGGCAGGGAGCAACTGTGAAATGCATTTAGGATTTCTCTAGCCCTTCCTAAGCCTCAGGGCTGCCTGCCACAGGGGCATCCAAAGAGGGGCTCTGGAGAGTTAAACTCCCTGAGCGTGTCAGGGGTGTGTTTTCAGCTGCAGGAGGAAGAGGGACAACCAGGCCCAGTCCCCCCTGGGATCCACTCAGTGTCCTTGCTGGAAAGGCTGGTGGTATGGACAGGAGAAACTTGAATTCTCTGGGCCACAGTGAGACAGATGTGTGGGGGCAACAGAAGATAGACTGCTTCAGATTCCCTGCTGGATGCAAGGCCATGTCAATTAGGAGAGATGCTACCACCTTGCATTGCTGGTGCAGAGGCGACAGGGGAATCACAAGCAGAAGACAGAGGCCTCTGTCCACAGCCCAGCCCAGCCTTGTAGAGAGACCCAGGTAACTGGTCCACCTGATTAACAACTGTGACTCTTTGGTTACTTTTCTGGAGTGGAAATCGTGGATCATAGATAAATTGTTTTCCCAGTTTCTCTCTGCAAGGCTGAGTTGCATAGAGGGTACAGTTTCCACAGTCAGTCTACATGTGTGTTCATCCTGGCTTTACCCTAGCTCTGTTACTCTGGAAAAGTTATATTTAGTAACCTCTTTGTTCCTCAGTCTCCCCAGCCGAGCAATGGAAATAATGATGATGCCTGTCATATAAAGTCAATGTGAAGATTAAATTAATATGTGTAAACCAGTGGAACATAGTAAGCATGCTGTGAATGTTACCATCACAATTATTTTGCTTTTTTGGAATAGGAGTTGCTCCAGGACCTATGGGATAGGCATGGGGTAGGGTGGTCTAAACAGGGAGCTTTAGGCAGGGTGTTGCAGGATGTCCCTGGGGTGGGACATATAGGGCATACAGGGGACACAGACAGGAGTAAGAAGATAAGTCTAGTGAGGTACTAGAGGGAATGATGTGGGTTCAGAGGAGTCCAAGATGATTCTCCAGGGGTTGGGGTTGGGAAAGACTTCCTGGGGGATGGAGCAGGGCAGTGGCCCTTGAAGGATGGATGTGATGGGGCCGAGAGAGTTTCTGGTACAGGAGCCAGCAGAGACAAAGGCTGGAGGGTGTTGGAGGAGGATAGAAGGGTCACAGCCTGAGCCTGAGAGTGAAGGGCTTGGGGGCCAGTCCACAGAAGTACCAAGGAGCCACAGCAGTGAGAGCAGAGGCGGTGTGGGCTCTGTGGGTTTCAGACACCCAACTGTGCTTTATACACATTTTCACCTTTATCCCTTGTAACATTTCCTATGACTAATGGGGGTAGGAACTGATTTGCTAAGGTAATTCAGCCTTCTTCCAACCCAACTACTCAATCTCCCTCCTCAGCTTCCTTCCATCCCCTGCCTAGATCCCCCTTCCCAGTGCCTACCTTCCTGCCAAGTCCCAGTCACTGGGACCTCTAAAAAGCCATGGCAGAGGCAGCTGGCTGCCAGCCACAGTGTCAGACATATGGCCTCCTAGACTGCAAATTTCATTTTCCAGGCTCTCTTGCAGTTAAGTACTGCATGTCACTGCCTCCTGGCAATGGGACACTAGTAAAGTGCCCTGACACAGTTCAATATGGGAGCGGGGGAGTGCCTTTGAGATAGGTGGTGTCTTTTCCCATATCCCAGAGCCTTCTTGTTTCTTACAAAGTGCATGGAACAACTGAGGCACTATCTGGACCACTTAGGCAAGGGCCTTTTCTGTGGTTGGTAACATAAGAATCTGGGACCTGTGTGAGTCTCTAACCATCCTAGTTTAGATTTATGCACTACAGAGAAATAAATGGCTTTTAAAAAAAAAAAAGCTACTAGTTTTTCAGGTCTTTCCTACCCACAGCCAAAACTAATCTCTTTAGTCAGGTTCTGAGCAGGTGGATGTAGGTGAAAGGCGGGCAGCAGCCCTGACTGGGGTGGGAGTTAGAGTCTAGACTCGGGGTGAAACCTCACACCTGGTAGGAGTCAACAAATGAGATATTCAGAAAGGCGGTTTAGATGAGATGCAAGGCCTAGGGAGAAGTCGGCTCCAATGTGGCCTGAGCTGAGGGGTAGATGGCATCCCGAAGGGGAGAGTGAGAAGTACGGTCCTGGAAACTTTTGACAGTGTGGATCTGGGGAGGAGGAGGAGCCAGAGAGGTGGTGGCCCAGATGGTGGCATACTGGGGTACGTTGGCCTTGGGCGAGGGAGGAAGGACTGGAGGAGAGGACATGGGGCAGGGGGGTGGGTGAAGGAGAAGGAAGGATACAAGGCAGGCTGGGCTCAGGAAAGGAAATTCTAAAATAAAGAATTCTCAGTGTTGGCTCCTGGCACTTGAAGATGGGGAAGCAGGTCAAGCCTGGGAAGCCAGAGAATCAGGAACCGGGTCTCATCTTGGGGAGATTTCCACTCTAAGCAGGAAAAGCCCAGAGGCATCGGATCTGTCATAGCAATGGATGTGATTAGTGCCTTCCTCCTTGTTAGTGAACATTCTGAGTACTCTGAGCTGAACTCAGATGACTCTACCCAGTCTCAGAATCCAGGGGCTTGGAGGTGCAAACAAGAAAAGAGTTCATTTAATAAAGCGTTGATTGAGCACTTACTATATGCCATCATGCGGGGCAGTGGGTCCCTTCCCTGTGGGAACCCAGTTTGATGAGGGAAACAGGCAATAATGAAATAAACACAAATTCCTGGATCATTACAGCTAGGAAGGAGTATTAAGAACATGAAGAAAGTCAGCAGCAAGGAAAACCTCACTAGGGGATGACGAGTTCATGGAATGGTTGGTGGCCAAAAGATGCTGGGAGCCAGTGGTAATGATGTGACCTGACTTACTTTAAAGGGCAGAGAAGACTTTTTACCTGAGGTAGAAAGTTTCTTATCTTACAAGGGTGCACAGTGTAGTGGACTGCATCAGATTTTGGAACTTCAAGCCTGTTTTCTTGCTCACGATACAGCAATAAAACTAGGCTTCCTCCCCTAGCTGCAGGGTACTGAGGATGGAAAGGTTAGAACCAAATGTCATACACTATCAAAACAACCATAACCCACTAAAAGTATGAGCAAGAACAAGTGCTTAACACAAAAGGAAACACAGACAATCCCAAAACAGAAGAGACATTTGAGCCCAGCTTGATGATGCCTCCTAATGCTGGACAATGACATTTCCTGTGCCTGAGTACTTATGTCCATCTGCCCCAGAGTCACACACCACACTCTGGAAAAACCTGCAAACACCCAAATGCCCATGAAGACAATGGATTAATGCACTATGTCCCTACATTGGAATATTTCTGCAGTCAAACTGAAGCATACTGTGTAACCAGAGCAGTGGGGTGGGCTGGGTAAGGCACAGACTAGAACCTACAGTATCTCCCTGAGACTGTGCCACTGAGGGCTGGAGGGTCAGGGCAGTTTGACCAGGCTGAAAAGGGGTAAGACAGGGCTAAGAGAGCACGGGGTAGCCCAGGGTGCAGAGTGGGCTCAGGCCCAAGAAGGGTGGGGGCAGGACAACGATGACTACGAGGAATATGCCGTTGGGGTGCAGAGGAGAAAGGTCGCTTTCTTCATCAGGATCTGGAGTCAGGGAATGTAGGAGCATGGGGTGTGAAGATTCTAAAACTTGCCATTTTTCCTGACTTTGATACTGGTCAGAGTTACTTTCCCAGTAGGATGAAATAAAATAAACGAAATACTATTACTTATACATCAGAGGCAGCCCATAAATTTTTATTCATTCAGATGTAGGGCCCAGCATTTAAACTGGGTCCAGGAAGATGAAAAGAACGTAACAGGCAGGTGAGGGCAGAGTAGGGCAAGGAAGGGAAGGGGGTGATGCCTCAGTACCTAGCACAACCTCAGACTCACCAGACTGGGACAGAAGTAGGAGAACTCTAGGGTGGATCACTGAGAAGTAGAAGGGTCCTGCCCCTCCCCTGCAAGGAACGTGGAGCAGCCACAGATTCGTGTGTAGGTCTGACAGTGGAAAGTCAAGGTCGTTCCCTTCTTCTTTTATATGGGAGGCCACAGAAGGAACGAACATTTGAACGATTAAACGACTAAAAGAAGTCTTTTTAACTGCCTGTCTGATTGCTGAGGGTGAATGCTGCTTTACCTGTCTAGGGGTCTCAGGGTTGTGAAGATTAGCCGGCAGAGGGCGCAAAAGCCGCGTACCCCCAGCGCCAGGAAAAGAGGGGGCGGGGTGCAGGGTGGAGCATCGCCTGGACCTTGGAGTTGGTGGGGGCGTGGTAGCCGGAAAAGTTGGGGAGGGGCATGGCTCCCCGAGGGGTTGGGCTTCAACAGAGCTGAGGGTGGATTGAGAGGCGGCGAGGGGGCTGTGCAGCCCGCAGAGAGATGGAAATGGCCAGTTTGGGAACCTGCAGGGCGGGACGTGGGCGTGGTGCGGCGCGATTCGCCGCGGTGGGGAGACGAGGGCGTGTCCTGGGAAGAGGTAAAGGGGCGGGACGGGGCGCGCCGTGCCCCGCCCATCGCCCCTCCTGGTTTGGGATCCCCCTCCCTTTCCCCCGCCAGCGGTGTTTCTGTGTGTACCTGAGCTTTGGTGTGTACGAGTTTGTAGGTCCGAGGTTGCCATGTTGGAACCCCTAGCGCAGGAGGCGCTCCCGCGCGAAAGCTGCTGAGCCGTAGTGTCTGCGCCAGGGTGACTGTGTACCTGCAGAGCTGACCACGCTCTAAACTTGCGTGTGTCTCAGCGAGTCCAGGACGGCCGCTCATAACCTTGCGAGACTTCTCTGGGGTGCCGCCGCTGTCTTCAAATGTTCAAGCATCTTGTTTCTCCTTCGGCTCCTCCCCATTCCCTTCCCCCACCGGGTTCCCAGACTTGCGCGCGCCCGGAGCCCACCCCCTCTTTTGGGCGCGAGGCTCCGCCCCCCACCCCCTTTCCTGTGCCACAAAGTTTATTTGCAACAAAAGGGAGCTCTGAGCGCACAGCCAAGGGGGAGGGAGCGGGAGCGGGAGTGGGAGTGTGAGGGGAGGCAGGCCGGCCGCCGGAGGGCGGGCAAGGAGCAGCAGAAGAGCTCTGGGATCCCTCCCCGGCCGGGCCGCGATGTCCTCAGCTACCAGGGCAGAAACAAGGGTTGCGCGTGGGGGTCGCCACTGAGGCGGAAGGGGCGGCCCAGGATGGAGCCGCTGTCGCCTGCAGCCACAGAAACTTGATCCGCGACAGATAAATCTCTGCCTGTCTCTTCGTCCTCCTCCCAAAGCCCCGCGCACAGCGGGTCAGGACCCAGGCCTCGGGATCGCGGCCACTGAGCACCTTAGGAGCGGAGACGGAGGGGGGGGTTGGCCACGGCTCCCCGAGGCCAGCCCCCCCGGAGTGAGTGCGGCCACCATGGCGGACGGGTCGCCCCGGCCCCCGCTTTATCGCAGCGTCTCTTTCAAGCTGCTGGAGCGCTGGAGCGGCGGCCCCGGGCCGAAGGAGGAGGACACGGACGCCGTGGGGTTACGACGTCGCGCCTCGTGCCGGCCGGCCGCAGCAGCCCCGGGCCAGCCCTCCCGGCGCGTGTCCAAGCTGGCGTCGGGGCCCCCGGCCGCCCCCGCGCAGCCGCGCCCGCTCCGCAGCCTCTCGCCCTCTGTGCGCCAGCTCTCCCGGCGCTTCGACGCTCCGCGCCCGGACTGCGATTCCGCTGGGGCCCGAGACGGGGGCGTCTCCCCCGGGGCCGCGGAAGAAGCGGCCGAAGGCGCCGCGCGCGGGGCCTGGCCCAGCGTCACCGAGATGCGCAAGCTCTTCGGCGGCCCCGGGTCCAGGCGGCCCAGCACGGACTCGGAGGCCTCGGGGACGCCCACCCCCGACGGCGTCGCGTGGGAGCCCTCAACTCGGGAGCCCCGGCAGCCGCCGACGCCACCTCCTCGGACGTGCTTCCCGCTGGCGGGCCTGCGTGTGGCGCCGCGGCCGGTACCCGGTTCAGGGATTGAGGGAAGGCGGCGGCAGCAGCTACTGGAGCGAGCGCAGCGTCCAGCGGATGGTTTACATTCTTGGCATAGCTTCTCCCAACCGCAGGCCGGGGCCCGGGCCTCCTGCCCCTCCTCCTCCTTCGTGGCCTCCTCCTATCCTGTCAGCCGAAGCCGGGCTGCCAGCTCCAGCGAGGAGGAAGAGGAGGGCCCGCCGCCGCAGCCAGGGCCCCAGAGTCCGGCCTACCACGCCGGCCGCTCCTCGGGCAGTGACGAGGACCAAGACGGTGAGGGTGGTCGCCATTGGAAAGGGAGGCCGGGGCTTAGGCCTGGAAGCGGCCTGTTGGATCAGGACTGCCGGCTGGACAGTGATGGGTTAAATTTGGGAAGCATGGACTCAGTGGGGGGAGTTAGGATCCCAGAACCTCCAACCTCTCCAAAAGTCCTTAGTGAAGGGGGACCTCGGGAGTGGGGTAGTGGCTTGCAGCCCTGTGTCTCTGGTCCCCAGGAAGGCATGCGGCCTATGACCGACACTGTAGGAGGAGCTTTCCGCGTAGCCAAGGTGAGCTTTCCTGCTTACCTGGCCAGCCCTGGGGGCTCTCGAGGTAGCAGCCGCTATTCCAGCACGGAGACCCTCAAGGATGACGACCTGTGGTCAAGCCGGGGTTCTGGGAGCTGGGGGGTGTACCGCTCTCCTAGCTTTGGAGCAGGGGAAGGTCTCCTGCGGCCCCAGGCTCGAACCCGGACCAAAGGACCTGTGGGCATCAGTAGGACCTTAAGGGATGGAGCTTTGGAGCTGGACAAGAGCAGACAGCGAAAGTCCCTCTCAAATCCAGATATCGCCTCAGAGACTCTGACACTTCTCAGTTTTCTGCACTCAGACCTTTCAGAGCTGAGAGTCAGAAAGCCTAGTTTGGGATCTGGAAGCAGCCCCTTAGAGGGCAGAGACTCAAGGTCAGCAGGTGGCCTAGTAGAGCAACTTGAGCCTATGACCTCCCAAGCCCCAGCATCACCTGGCACACGTCCTACGCTCAAGGACTTGACAGCCACCCTGAGGAGGGCAAAGTCGTTTACCTGCTCTGAGAAGCCGGTGGCCCGACGTCTGCCCCATACCAGTGCTTTGAAGCCCAGTTCCTCTGAGCTCCTGCTGGCAGACCTTGGTGCTGAGGAGGATCCATTGCCACTTGTCATCCAGGATCAATACGTACAGGAGGCTCGTCAGGTTTTTGAGAATATCCAGCGCATGGGTGCCCAGCAGGATGATGGAAGTGATGTCCTCCCTAGAATCCCTGACTTGGCAGAGGACCTGACTAGAGGGAAGCGGTCCCAGGAGGAGCTCTCAGGCCCTGAATCCAGTCTGACAGATGAGGGAATTGGGGCAGACCCTGAGCCTCCTGGTACAACCTTTTCCAGCTTGGGCACAACAGGGACATGGGGACCTCTTTCTTCATCCTCAACCCAGATGAACTACCGTGTTCCTGGGGCCGAGGACTGTCTGGGTGGGTGGACCCTCATGACCCCTGAAACTCCTACCACACCAGGTGCTCTCCGAAGGAGACGCAAAGTCCCACCTTCAGGCCCTTGTGGGACTGAACTGAGCAATGGGGAGGCAAGTGAGGCTTACAGGTCCCTGAGTGATCCAATTCCACAGCGCCACCGTGCTGCCACCTCTGAGGAGCCCTCTGGGTTTTCTGTGGACAGCAACCTCCTGGGCTCACTGAGTGCCAAAGCAGGGCTTCCAGTGACCCCAGCTGTGGATGAGGGCTTGACCAGTGGCCACAGTGACTGGTCTGTAGGCAGCGAAGAGAGTAAGGGATATCAGGAGGTCATTCAGAGCATTGTTCATGGGCCTGCCACTCTGGGGCGTGTAGGGGAAGACAGAGTTGCTGGCAAACCCCCCAAGAAGAAATCTCTGAGTGATCCCAGTCGTCGTGGGGAGCTGGCAGGGCCTGGATTTGAGGGCATTGGAGGGGAGCCCATCAGGGAAGTTGAACCTATGCTGCCTCCATCTAGTAGTGAGCCTATCCTTGTGGAACAGCGGGCAGAGCCAGAGGACCCTGGTCCTGCCAGGAACCGGGCACAATCTGAGAGGGCTCTACCTGAGACCCTGCCTGAGTCCTCCACTCCCCACCCTGACTTTCACCTTGACCCCAAGCTGGTGGATGTTCTATCTCCTCGGCTCATCCGACGAGGTTCCAAGAAGCGCCCAACCCGAAGCAGTCACCAGGAGCTCCGGAAAGAAGAGCGAGATCAGGACCAGACTGGTGGTCTGTCTCAGGCCCGGCCCTCCTCCAAACATGTTCGCCATGCCAGTGTGCCTGCCACCTTCACACCTATTGTAGTGCCTGAGCCCCGGACCTCTGTGGGCTCCCCAGTGGCTGTGTCAGAGCCTGTGGGTCTTCCTGTCCAAGCCCACCCCACCTTGCAGGCACCATCACTTGAAGATGTCACCAAGCAGTACATGCTGACTGTCCACTCAGGTGAGGTCCCTGCCCCAGTGCCTGTGGACCTGCCCTGCTTGACTCCTGTTGCACCACCTTCTGCTGAGGCCAGGCCCCCTGAGGCCACCCGGGCTCCAGAGGAGCCTGCCCCTGCCAGCAAGTGTTGTCGAAAGCCACAGGTGGTGAGTCCTTTTGGAGGGGAGACCTTTGGTTGGGGCTGAAGGGAGACCATCAGCACTGACATGGACCTCAGTAACTTTTTGCAGGTACTCACTGCCCAGGTCCAACTGCCTGAGGTAGCTAGGCAGTTCTAAGACTGTTAATGACACAAGGCTCCTTTCACACTCAGACCCTAAAGAGGCTTTAGGTTCTTGTCTGCTCCTAGGTGTTCTGGTAATGATTACAAATGTTCTTAGTGAATCTTTTTTTTGGTTGTGTGTGAGGTGTTTTTAGGGACTGACTTTTGGGAGACCTCTGTGTGTTTTTTTGGTGAGAACACATAGGGGTATGAGAGTGATGGTGCACAGACAGGCTTAGTCGTTTTTCTGAATCTGGCTGCTCAGCTCTTGGCCAGATCCTCTGTAGGATATTTGGGCACAGGGGTCAGCGTTGGCATGTGCTTGCCCTTCCTGTGGCAGGTCAGAAGGTTGATGTGCTCCTGGGCTGGGAGAGTTGGAAAGATCCAAGATCTTTATGGAGCAGTGTTCAGGGTGGTGGGGAGTGACACAGGTCTAGCCCCAGCTCCATCCAAATGTGCAATTTTGGCCTTTCTCCTGATTTAAACCCCACCAGACCCCTTTATAAGGTTGGATTGGGAGGGATGTGGAAAAGATGGTACCTATGTTTCCATCCAGCTCCTCCTAGGCACAGATACTAAGCAAATCTGTGTGTCTCAGTTGGGGCACTTTGGGGCCTGAGTTCTGGCAGGGCCTGCTTCTTCAATTAGAGGAGCTTCTAGGTTGGGACCGCTAAGGGAAGAGGAAGGCAACAGGGTTTCTACTGAGGCAGAGCTGCAAGGGCCCTCAGAAAAGTTGGGAGAGGTTCCAGCCACAGTCAGTCTTCTGGCCTTATGGTTCTGAACAGGGGCCCTGGTCCCCCATCCTACCTGTGTGTGTCTACTCTCCCCCGTAACCCTTTCCTGGTGACTCAGAGATATCCCCGTGTATACTGGGGGCCTGGTCCTGGGGTCTCATTTTCCCCAAGGTTCCCAATTCTGTCTTCTGGCTTCACCTGTGCCTGAATTTTGAGTGGTGGTTCAGATTGATTCTAGATGGCCTCTGCTCTGGCTTAGAAACCAGATTTGAGGCCCAGGGGTTTTGAGCTGAGCTCAAGGATTACCTGGGGTTATTCTAACTGCACCTCTCCTCCCACACTTCCCACTGTGTCTCTGACTGTGAGAAGACTGGAAACCCTAAACCTTGTTCTAATTTGGTCACTCCCATTCCCAGTACTCTGCTCTGGAGCTCAATCTCAGGCTCACTCTCACGGTCCCTCTGAACTCCCTTCCCTTTGTTTTAGTCTCCTTAACTCTTCTTTTGTCCTGGCTGTGCTTCTCATGGAGGCTGAAGCCAGAGTCAGCAGGTTGGGAGTAGGGAGTAAGGGAATTTAGGGCATGTTCGTCCTCCAAGAAGCTTACGTGGCCCTACACCAGTGCCAGTTCTGTCTTTGGAAGATGGAGGGAAGAATGGGCAGCTCCTGCCAGGCGCCCCCTTCCCAGCTTCCTTTCCCATGTTTGATCTCCTCTGGGAGCCCTGAGCTCAGCTGAGGGAGAGGGCAGAGGTGAACCAGGAGACTCAGGGAGCCTGGATGGTTGAGGGTACCCCAGGAAGCAGCATTGAGCCCACATAGGAGGTGGGAGTTTTTGCAGAACTGGCTCCTGGCCTACTTCTGTCGCATTTTTCTCTCTGCTGTCTCCCACTTTGGGGGCCTGAATTGGGACAGATCTGCCATAACATAGTCTTCTCCCTGCCAGAGATGCAAGCTTTCTCTGACCTCCAAACCTTTGCCTGCTCGCTCGTCCTCACTTTTCCAGTCCTGGTTTGATGTTCCCTCTTACCTCTTAGGGGAGAGAACTGGGTGAGTCTATAATTAGAAGAACAGTTTGGCTGGGGATTTAGTTCAGTGGCATAAGCGTCTGCCTTGCAACTATGCAGTTGTGAGTTCGATCCCAGTACCAAAAAAAAAAAGAAGAAGAAGAAGAACAGAGTTGAAGCCTCAGCTGCAGATTCCTGTAAGGCCTAGGATCCGTCATATCTTTTTCACTTCACTTTCCCCTTCTGTAAAATGGGGGAAGGGGAGCCTGGCAAACTCTTGGTTTGGTTTGGTTTGGTTTGATTTGGTTTGGCGTGGTTTGGTTTTGAGACCGGGTCCCACTGTGTAGTGCAGGCTGACCTGGAACTTGCTTATGTAGCCCAGGCTGTTCTCAAACTCACAGCAGTCTTCCTGTCTTGGCCTCCCAAATGCTGGGATTATAAGCATGATAGGCTCTTGTGGGTGAGTGGGAGGTATGAACTTTCTGGCCCTGGGGACAAGAGAGAGCTAAAACCAGGGGCCACTAGCTGCTCCTCAGTGATTATACTTGGCCCTTCTTCTGTCCCTCCCAACCCCACTGGAACAGGCTGTGTGTAACCTGGTAGAGTGATCTAGGCGCAGTCTCAGAACACATTCACCATCCTCCGAATCCCCACCTCCTCCCAGAGCCTGAAAGGTCTCCCATCTGCTAGCCTGACTCCCTCCTGCTGTCTTCTCCTTTCTGGCTCCAGAAGATGGGATGCAGCTGTCCAACCCCTCCTGCTGGCCTCCCTTGAGGAGAAAATGTTCCCTTGTCTGGGACCTGGGGCTCCAGTCATGCTCCTTGTCCTGTGAGGAGAAATGGTGTAGTGTGGGCTCCAGAGTAAGAAGGAACAAGAAGAGTTGCTACATTTTCCTTATGGGGCAGAAACCAGTGTGAACCTAGCCAGGGGCTGCATGGGAACCTGGGGCAGAGGAGAGCCCAGCCTCACACTCAGGCTATGAGGAGTGTCTCCCAGCCTAGAGCTCGTGAGTACCCTTGGTGTAGTGTGGTCCTATTTCTGAAGACATGGTACCAGGCTCAGCTCAGCCTCCGACTGACTCATCTTTGGCCTCAGCTTTCCCATCTGTACAGTGGGAAGGTAGACCACCTATTTGCTGAGGCTCTAGAGTAAGGGCTCAGTCTGCAGGATGGTCCAGGGAAAGGGGCACGGTCAGAGATGTGGAGGGGTGAGAAAGGCAGCTAGCTCTGTGCTGGGTGTAAAGACCAAGGGCAGCAGTGACTGTGGGCGGATCCTGGGGTTCCTAGCCTATGAATGCACCTCATGGATGTGCAGTTCTGCCCTCCTGCCTGTCTCTGTCACCCTCCTGGTCTCCTCAAGGTCCACAGCAGCTTGGCCATGACCCTTCATAGCAGACTTGCACCACCCTGGCCTTAGAGCAGAGTCCTGCAGTCCACTTTTGCCTTCAGGTACCTGATACCCAGTTGATACACAGCGTTTGTGGCCCAGAAACAAGAAGTGACTTGTCTCGGAATCACAGACGAATGAACTCTTGGAACTTTAGCATATGACATAGTGGTAACTATGGCTGACATTTATTAAATGCCTATTATAAGCAGACACTTTCATCTTTGAATGTGAAAGTGTGGGTATTTTTGTGGTGTAGAATTAGGCTTGAGAATTCTAGCATATCAGTGTCTGATAGTGAAGGGATCCAAGAGGTCCCTGTTCCTCATTGGAATTGGTCTGCCATCTGAAAAGGGGCATAAGGCAGGGAATTTGAGGGCATTCTGGCATATCCCCAACATCCTCAGCATTGTCCTCATGGTTATTTAATTCACCAGGGCCTATGGTTGAGTAAGGAAGAACTTTGAGATCCCGAAAGCGAGAAAGCTGAGCTTGACAGAGCCACTGTTGAATACCAAAACTGTGGCTCTGTTCCTTCCTCTCCCCTGCCAGCAGACATATTGCCCATCCTATGCCTGGCATGCCTGGTTTGTCCAACCAGCTCCCACCTTGCAAGGATGCTCTGGGTGCAGATCTTCCCATCACCTGGCAGGGGCCTGTGGGGGTGGGGGTTCTCTCCTTCCCCTCTTTGGCTCTTTGCTGTAATTTTTCCATGGAAACTGGTTCTGCTGGAAGAAGATGAGGCAATTAGGACATTTGGAATCCTAAGCAGTACCAAATATCTATAATTAAATGTCTTGTCACCCAGCAGGAGGATGAAATGGGGGAGGACAAACAGAAAGGCTGTCCCTCTCCTTTATTTATTCCTTGCCCCCCTCCTTCCTAAGGGCCCTGGGGTGTTGGGAGGAATGCTGTCCAGAAATGAGTCCGTCTAGCAGACAAGGGTTGGGGGATGGACTCAGAGTTGAGTGTGACATTTTCCAGCCCCAAGTTTCAGGAACCAGCTGGGTTTGGAAGGCTGCTGCTAATCCTGTCCCTGGCCCCCGCTCCTCAGCGTAGGGACTTGCCTCTCCTGCTCTCCTCCCTCCCATCTGTGATCTCTGGCTGTTGAGAATTGGGCTGGAGACACCCCCAGGCCACCTGGGAGCTGAGGAGAGTTTAGAATCTAGAAGTTGTCTGGCAGAGCTTAGGGTGTTAGCTTGGGAACTGACAAAGGAAGCTTCCTGGTGCAGGCTCTTCCTGGGCTTGGCTTTGAAACCTTCAAGAGAGGGAGGGGTTTTAGGAGGGGGCACAGTCTAGGAGATGGAAAAAATGGGACAGGTCGTGTGTGATATGTTTGTTTCAGAGACTTGGGTGGCCTTAGATAGGGAAATGCAAAATGCATTCATCCATTGAACAAATACTTATGTACTATACAGGTCAGGCACTCTTGTATGCCTGAGGATGCAGCAACTTACAAAACAGAGTTTCACTTCCTGGAGCTTCCAGACTCGTGAGGACACCAGCATGGAAATTGAGAGGCTATGAATCTGGGAACTGGGAAGGGGCTGGGGAGAAAAATAAATCAGGCTAAAAGAGTTGAGAATTCTAGGGTAGGGTGCTGAAATTTGGATCCAGTAATCTTAAAAGGCCTGTCTGAGGAGGAATCCCCTGATCAGAGGCCTAGGGAAGTGAGGATGCAAGTCAGGAAACTTAGGGAGTGTTGTGAACAGCAAGTGCAAAGGTCCTGAGATGTTTGGGGAACAAACTTAAGGATAGTGTGC